GTAGCAGTTCCGACGCCTATTCTCCTTCAAGTTTAGACGCACCGTGCGAGCGAGACATGACGATTTAATGTGGGTGCGAATGAAAGAAAACATATTATAATAACCGGTTAGGGCTGGAAATCCAACACGGGATGTTGTTTTGGTTGTCAGTCTGCTTTTGTGCTTCGTACATAGTAGATGTGATATCGTTTTGCTCTTTTCCTCGACTTGGCTACGATTCTGGACTATTTCTTCTGATTTGTGAATACTGTGCTTGTTCACTGGACTCTGATTTGTACTTGTGATACGGAAGTGTTGAAGATGACGTCCTACACACCTGAGGAATATGCTGATATGCTTATTTGTTACGGATACTGCGATTGTGTATCTGCGCAAGCTCGCAACGAATACAGAACTCGCTTCCCCGGTCGTCGAGTGCCGGATGTGGCCGTTTTTAACAGAGTTTATCTAAGACTTCGAGAAACTGGCTCTGTTTTGAGACGAAATACAGACCTGGGAAGACCACGAATTTATGACAACGAAGAACTGCAGGACAATGAGATAGTGCAACGCTTTCGAGCGGATCCGACCATTTCCACTAATCGTGTTGCCCGTGATCTGGGACTTTCGCAATGGAGAGTGTGGTTTACAGTGCATACTGCTGGCCTATACCCGTACCATTACACGCCGGTACAAACTATTGAAGAAGGAGACCCCGCGAGAAGGTTGGACTTCAGCAGATTTATGCTAAATGCTGACGTAGAAGACCCAGATTTTCTAAGAAATATCTTATGGACAGATGAATCCAAATTTGATAACGATGGCATAACTAACTATCACAACGCCCATTACTGGGCCCCAAAAGTACTAAGGAATCCCAATAAGAAAAGAGTGGCGAGGTCCCAACGAAGATTCAGCGTGAATGTGTGGATGGGCATTATCTCCAACCATTTGATTGGACCTTACTTTCTCCCGGACAATCTAAATGGGGAAAATTACGAAAACTTCTTGAGAGGAGACTTCAGAGATTTGCTGGATGATCTGCCACTCAACTTGAGAAGGGACATGTGGTTCCAACATGATGGCTGCCCTGCCCATTTCAGGAGAAGTGTCAGAGACTGGCTGGACACAAATTATCCAAACAAATGGATAGGACGAGGTGGGCCGTTGCCATGGCCAGCAAGAAGTCCGGACCTAACCCCCATGGATTTTCATGTGTGGGGGTGCATGAAAAGTCTTGTCTACAGCGAGCCAAATCCAGTTTCGTCTGTGGAAGAATTAAGAGAAAGGATTGTCGATGCAGCAAATCAACTAAGGACAACGTTGACCACTGCAGTTGTAAAGACTGGTCTCCGTAGAAGGCTGCGACAATGTATTAGAAACAGAGGCAGCTATGTTGAACATGAACTGTAGAGTAAGAAAAAGTTGTGTGAAAACCTGATTTAATAAATGATATTTCATGCTTACCTATTGTTTTATTTTACTTTTTAGGGCTAAGTATCAATTTTCTTCTCCACTGTCGCCTATGAAACTAAGTTTTTTCAATGCATTTAAATAAAATCCTAGATTGTTATACCTCGTTAGATAGCTGATAAAACATAGATATTTTAAAACACATCTGCCGAACAATTGCCATAATATTTTTTTTTAGATATCCCTTAGAGAAAAATAAACTTTCTGATATTTTTTTCAATTTCTTAACATTCACTTATCTACTACAGCCTATTCAATTAACTTATGGACTATTTTAATGATTGACGTCCTAAAGCATCTTATTATTATTACACATGTTAAAATGCAATAATAGTAATAATAACACACACAAAATAAAAATAAATACATTTAGTAGCCTAAAAATCGGCAATTTTCAATAAAAACATTAAAAGTTGAATATCTCGAAAAGGGTTAAGTTTAGGGTAGGGTGTTTCATAATGAAATAAGTCAGAAATGATGGGTACTACACGCCCTTAACGGATCTAGCACGACTTTTCCTGTAACCCTGTATATATAAATAATGGGCAAAATCAGCAAAAAGAAGGAAAGTGGATTCGAGGAGAAAATAGGACAGCTAACCCGGGCGATACGTATTTCTGCTGGTTGGCTTCATCAGGCCTGAAATGAACTTTTGTAGTTGCATATGTGCATTCATTTCGGGCCTGATGAAGCCAACCAGCAGAAATACGTATCGCTCGGGTTACCTATCCTATTTTCTGCTCGATTCCACTTTCCTTCTTTTTGCGGATTTTGCCCATTATTTTCCTATTTTTTGTTATATACCTTTCTCCGCATGATCATTTTTTCTTTGTATATATAAATATATATACAGGGTTTGTCCGGAAAGCAATAGGACTCATTTTCTTCCGCCATGACTGTACTTCGGAGCGTGCGCGCACCGACTGGATTCGGTATATGGCGTTCCTAGCTAACGAATGAGCGGTTGGTCAGTTGTCTCCGAGCACTTGGAGAGTCAGGAGAGGCATTTTCGCGCGACGTGTTTCTGTGAGTGGTGCAAGCCGAAAATGCATCGTTCGTTAGAGCAGAGGTACGCGATTAAATTCTGTGTGAAACTCGGTAAATCTGCGACAGAGACGTTTGATATGATCAAGCAGGCTTACCCAGGTGTTGCTTTAGCAAGAAGTGGTGTGTTTCGGTGGTACCAGGCCTTTTTGGAGCGCCAAGAAGAGGTCGCTGATGAAGACCGTGCTGGAAGACCTTCGACTTCGACAAACACCGATAATGTCACTCGTGTGCGCAAAGTTTTGAACTCAGACCGTCGACTAAGTATTCGTTTAATTGCCCAGATGTTAAATTTACCAAAATCTGTGGTTCATGACATTGTGACACAGCATTTGAACATGCGCAAGGTGTGCGCGAAGATGATCCCAAAATTGCTCACTGACGACCAGAAATTGCGGCGAGTGGAAGTGTGCCAAGAAAATTTGAACATGAGTGAAAGTGACCCCCAATTTTTGAATAACGTAATCACAGGTGACGAGTCGTGGAACTTTGAGTATGATCCCGAGACAAAGAGGCAATCTTCCGAGTGACACACGACGGCGTCTCGTCGCCCAAAAAAGGGAAGAATGAGCAAATCCAAAGTGAAAACGATGCTCATTGTCTTTTTTTACCTCAAAGGCATCGTCCACCATGAATTTGTTTCTCCTGGACAAACCGTCCACGCCAAGTTTCACGTGGAAGTGCTCAGGAGACTCAAACGAAGGATCAGTCGGGTCCGACAAGACATCGCAGCCGACTGGAAGTTGCACGACGACAACGCCCCGGCTCGCACCGCCTTTCTTGTGAACAGCTACCTGACCAAGGCCGGCATCCCAACGCTTCCGCAGCCGCCCTACATCCCAGATGTGGCTCCCCCGGACTTTTTTTTGTTTCCTTGCCTGAAAAGGTCGATGAAAGGCAAGCATTTTGAGACGACAGAGGGGATCCAAGCAGCATGCACCGCGGCTCTCAAGGCTATTCCGGAGAATGCCTTCCGTGACGCCTTCAATGCTTGGAAATCGCGTTAGCAGCGCTGCATCGACGCAGAAGGAGCCTATTTTGAAAGTTTGTAAAGAATTGTAACGATTGGCTCAATAAATTTTTTTAAATCGACTCAGTCCTATTACTTTCCGGACAAACCCTGTATATATCTGCTATTTCAGTGGCTTATGTTATTATGGTCCTTCGAGAAATCAAACGACACGACTTGCATTGTTGGTTTCTTGTTGATTGCAGAAAGCCGAGTAGTCTGTAGTGTTATCTCTGAGAAGATGTGAAAGAAAGAAAGTTGGTTGAGTAGCAAAATCCCATCTGGATAAATATGTGTATTGGTCAGTATGTGTAAAAAATCGCTGATATAAATATGTGAGAAAATTATTACTGAATATGCTGCCAATGAAGTTATATCTATTAGCTGTGCCCGCTGGGTTACTTATATGTTGTCCTCTCTGGAGAGGGGAGTAACTTTTTTACATTTCATAAATATTCCCGTCTGCAGCATATTTTCTCACATGGTATCTCATCTCTCTCATTTTTTAAATTCAGCAAATTTGCATATGTGATTTCCAGAATCAATGGAATTATCATCAACACAGATTAATCAGCAAACAACAGAAGTTCGTTGCACCTCCACAGAGATAGCCAAGCCCATACGTTCACGCTCATTGAAAATGTCATGAAACTTTGCTACCTTCGGCAGTACGAGAACTATAAGAGGCATGGGTCTCTCGCCAATCTTTTTTAAGCGAATTATATGAAGAGGGTTATATCCCCTTGATATCAGCTCTTCCTTTACTTCGCATTCCTCCACAGTTGTTGGTATTCCCCTAAGGAAAGCGTGAATGTTTCTTTCTTCAGAGAGGGGAAACGTATGGTGTGCTATTTCTTTTCCTTTTACAAAGCGTACAAGTTTTAGGACTAATTCTAATTCTGACATCGATAGCTACAGCGTTTTCATTTTTTCTTTGTATATATATATATATATGTATATATATATGTATATATATATGTATATATATATGTATATATATATGTATATATATATATGTATATATATCTGCTATTTCAGTGGCTTATGTTATATGGTTCTTCGAGAAATCAAACGACACAACTTGCATTGTTGGTTTTTTGTTGGTTGCAGAAAGCCGAGTAGTCTGTTGTGTTATCTCTGAGAAGATGTGAAAGAAAGAAAGCTGGTCGAGTAGCAAAATCGCATCTGGATAATTATGTTTTTTGGTCAGTATGTGTAAAAAATCAGTGATATAAATATGTGAGAAAATTATTACTGAATATGCTGCCAATGAAGTTATATCTATTAGCTGTGCCCGCTGGGTCACTGTTGTCCTCTCTGGAGAGGAGAGTCTCTTTTTTAAGTTTCATAAATATTCCCTTCTGCAGCATATTTTCTCACATGGTATCTCATCTCTCTCATTGTTTAAATTCAGCAAATTTGCATATGCGATTTCCAGAATCAATGGAATTATCATCAACACAGATTAATCAGCACACAAATCCTCACTATTCACCTATCCACTGCCGTTTCCTTCCAGCTTAGACCTCTATAGTCTATAATGCCATCTCTAAAGCAGATGTTACATACTGCCAGCATCAGTCGCCGCCGAATGGCACGCGATCCATACCTAGAATATTTTGTTCAGATAAATCTGTGATGTATGTCCTGAAAGTTTTGGCACAAAACTTATTGGCTTTAATTTTAACAAACATAAAATAATACCAAGTTGCCTTTGGAAACAAAAGTTTGTTTACTTGCTTTACTGTCAGTTGACATTTATTCATTTTGGAGTTTTCGCTTTAAGATGTATAAATTAGAAATAAGAAAAAGCATCTATAAGTTGGTTGGACGGGTACCCAAAGCTGAAATCTGTCGAATATTCCAGAATGAAAATATTTCGAAACGAGCTTTTCCGAAAACATTTCTTTGACCACCGGCAGGGACTCGTTGGATATGTGACACGTGGCTTCATCTTGTTGAAACCATGTGGTACGATTATAGCCAGCAAATTCCAGTAGCATCGGTGCCAAGAACTCCCGTAACATTTTCACATACCCAGCAGAATTGACAGTAACTGAATGGCCGCGAGAATCTTCAAAGAAGTAGGGGCCAATGATTTCTTTTGCTGAAATTGCAGCCCATACAGTTACTTTAGGAGAGTAAAGTGGCTTCTCGTGTTTAGCTTTGGGATTTTCGCTGCTCCAAACCTGCAATTCTGTTTATTCACATGTCCGTTGAGGTGGAAATGGGCTTCGTCAGAAAATAAGAGATTGTCAAAATTACTGAATCGAGCTAACATCGTTTCGGCACACAACTTGCGCAAATTTAAATCATTAGGTTTTAGTTCCTGCACTATCTGGATCTTATATGGATGTAATTTCAAATCTAATCTCAAAATACGGCGTAATGATGTGCGGGATAATCCTAATATTGCCGAACGTTTGCCCGTCGATAAATCCGGATCACGTTGAACAGAAGCGGAAACTTGCTGCACGTTCTCTTCGCTCCGAGCGTCCGTGGGCCGCCGGTTTGCTTCACATTCAGTGTAGATCCCATCTCTTCGAACTTCTTCGCCCATTTCTTTATCAAAGGAGCACTTGGACACTGACTTAAGTCGTGTAAATTATATTCAACGCGAAATAAGCGTCTCACCGTAATGAGCGAACTGTTGTTTAAATAAAATTATTTCACACAGTAAGCGCGTTGCGGCCCCGTGAAGCGATCCATTGCGACTGAATTTCCGAGAAACGAGCTAGCGACTAGCCCCCTCCCCGCGCTTCGCGCGGCATCTGTTTGCGTGGGGTATTAGATTTAAATGTTAACGAATTCTTGGCCCACCCTGTAAAAAGAATAGAGACCTGCCCTGATAGGATAATACGTAGAATAAGTATCTTTAGTTTTGATCCTGAACTTTCTTCCTTCCAAAAAGGATTTAAGCAAATTTGACAGACAAAGGGGAAATCCCTTATTGATCAATTTATACACACACCTTATCGAAAGCCTTTAAAATACCCAAAAAAAGAACTCCAGTATTTTGATTTTGAGTGAATCCAGGTTATCGTCTCCACAAGTCTCATTGCCTGTTGCTCCGTACTGTGCTCGGCGCAAAATCCGATTTCGTCTTGGGGATAAAAACAATAATTCTCTAGATGAGTATGAATAACCTTTTCGGCCTATTTAGACACGGAGGCGTTATGGGGCGATAGTCCTGTGGAAAAATTTATTCAGCCTTTTTCGGGATCATCACAACTTCAGCGATTTTCCAGTCTCTTGGAAAATATGGGAGCCTAAGCATCGCATTAGTTATTGTTAGGTGATATGTCAAAGCCCTCGGAGACAAAAGTGCCTTGTTGGTGATTTGATCCCCGCCTGGTGCTTTGCGATCCTTAAAGTCTTTGATATGGCCGTGAAGTTCCGCAGGAGTGCAATGCGGAACTTCTAGGATGGGTTCTACGCTGCTACTTGTGCACCGTTGGCTCTGAAATATCTCCTAACAAATCTGTGAATGTGTTCTTCTTTATCAAGGTCGTTATCCAAGTCGTAATTCGGAGAGAACTGTCTCTCCATGATGTCTGCAAAAACTACCGCTTTCTCCTCTATCGTAAAAACCATGCCACCAAGACCGTGGATTGTTGGCAGTTGTTCTCTCTTACTATTTCTTCATTCGGTGCTCAAATAAAGCGTCCCTAACGGAATGGACAAGATTCGTGTCCCTTCTAAAGTCTTCAGGGCGACGAGTGCATTTAGCGATCTTAATGGCTGATCTTTTATCCCTGATCTTTTGGCGAATATCAGCAAGCAGAAAAGGAGTATCAGGGGACCTTCTTCTTAAGGTAGCTGCTATTACAAGCGCCTCTTGCATGAACCTTGTCCACTCCGACAAAGCAGAATCTAGTTCGCCCTCAGAACCTATAACAGGAATACTGGGAAAGGTCGCAAGTATAAACTCGAGTTCCCAATCAATGCGCTTTGACGGAGTAGATTCTGCATAGTTTTGTTCGATTTCTACCCCAAGATGACTGGAAGACGGTCACTCTGATGTCATACAGGACTCAAGAAGTAATACTAAAGTTGCAATTTCTGGATATAGCAAAATCAATCATGTCTGGTGTTACCAGACTATTGTATGGATGGTGTGGAGTGTATGAGGCATCCATGTCGCATGAGAGTTATACAAGCGAACACCGCTAGATGTGTTGAGCCTTGCGTTGCGTGTTTGGAGATGTCATCCCCGCAGCAATTAACGGTCCCGTGCAGTCCAGCAGAACTTCCAAGTCCGCCTCCTGAAGCCGAGGGCCACAGCTCACATACACTGATTTGCGTTTCATTGCCATATTGACCACGACAGAAGCTGCCTCGATGTTCTTCATCTCGACACTGGTGCTTCTGTGGTAGTCAATACCGCGCCGCACAAGTACGGCCAAGCCGCCAACCCTCCCATCCAACCTGTCTGCTCGAATGACATCAAAATGTGGGACGACAAATCTATCGCCCGGTTTCAGGAATGTTTCTTCCAACAAGGCTACGTCTATAGATCCATCAATCATGGCTTGATGAAATTCACGTTTTTTACGGATATTCTTTATCCCACAAGCATTCCAATTTGTCCAGAAGTTCGTTGCACCTCCACAGAGATAGCGAAGCCCATACGTTCACGCTCATTGAAAATGTCATGAGACTTTGCTACCTTCCGCAGTACCAGAAGTATGTTATAAGAGGCATGGTCTCCCGCCATTCTTTTTTAAGCGAATTATATGAAGAGGGTTATATCCCCTTGATATCAGCTCTTCCTTTACCTCGCATTCCTCCACAGTTGTTGGTATTCCCCTAAGGACCGCGTTTCTTTCTTCGGAGAGGTGAAACGTATGGTGTGCTATTTCTTTTTCTTTTACAAAGCGTACAAGTTTTAGGGCTAATTCTAATTCTGACATCGATAGCTAGAGCTTTTTCAATTTTATTACAAAGAGAAACACATGATTGAGAAAGAAACTACCACCTTCCTGGTTCGCGCAGTACTATCGGAGTGAACAGCACGGGTTTTAGGTATCTTGAAAAGCGATTTTTTTGACATTATATTGGACTTTTGTGACATTATGTAGTTTTTTCTAGAATATGTTAACTTAGCACTAGCTGATGGATATGTTGTGAACTTGTGTTGTAGTTGTACGTGTTGCCTAAACGTCATGAGGCTTCAGTTATCATGTTTGGCTCCGCTGTGATGCAAAATCTGCTTCAGAGATGGCATTACTGGAGGTAACGGCAATGCATAGGTGCATAGTGAGGATTTGTGTGCTAATAATATGTGCTGATGATAATTTCATTGGACTCTTGTTTTTGAAAACACAAAAATCATAATTTATAACTTTGAACACCATATAAATAACCCGTCGGAAACAGCTAATAGAATACTTCATTGGCAGCATATTCGGTAATGATTTTCTCACACAGTAAATATCACTGATTTTATACACATGCAGACCAATACATACAATCATCCAGATGCGATCTTGCTATCCAACCAACTTTCTTCTAAGAGATGAAAACTATAGACCACTCGGCTTCACAAATAATGCAACCAACAATGCGTGTAGTTGCGCTATTCCTCCATAGATGGACGCTAACAACAATCCTAGTGAGCAAACGTGGATTGATTGTTTGCACCCTAAAAACTACCTAGTATGCAAGATGACATTTAATAGGTTTTTTTTTACGTTTTATAGGTTTTTTTTACATAATACCAGTGCTGCTTTCATAGAGGTAGTCTCGAAGGTGTAGCGCTGGAACCTGGAGAGCTTGGTTATGAATTTGTATTTTGATCAGAGTCAGTAGCCGAGGTTAGAGTTTGAGAGGTAAAACATTTTGTTTGGGGCAAAGGAGATGAAGCTGAAGTAAGAAGCTGGCTGAGCTTGCTTGGCAGTGGTGGAAAATCGCTTGAGCACTTCTTGGATCTGCATTTCTTCGATACTTTAACGCTATCTTCTTCCCTGTTTTCTATGTCCATTTCGTTAACTGTGGAACTTTTGCTGCCGCAGTCATATTGACGTTTCTTTGGCGATTCACTCTTCTTCAGTAATTTATTAATTTGCCTCTGCAGCTCATCTATTTGAACTGACATCTTTTCAATAAGCTTCGTCAGCGCTGCTATCGTTTCCTGCTGCTTTTCATAGTTCTCCAACAGGTGGCTGATGAAAGCATCCTTGTCGGGTATACTATCTCGGTCTGGCGGAGCACCTCGACTCTCGCCAATATTGGGACAGCCAGGACGGCTGAACTATATTTTAGTGCATGTCGCAAATACTTCATTTATTATTTTAAAATCAAAGATTAGGATCTAACTTGTACGAAAATATCATTTTTTCTTTAAGGAACCCTCTGCTTGCTATTTTATAGAACTTCAAAGTTGCATTTTGGGTGGTGATACTGTGGTATAGAATACTGCTTTATAAGCTACTTTTTTCTTGTTTACACAAAATAATGCTCAAAATTATCATGATTAAAGTAGTTATTTCTTTTATTTCAGATAAATGTTCCCATAACTATCATAATTCCTGCATCTAGTTACGATGTTGCCAAATCATGGATAGTAATATACCTTGATTTGGTTTGTCAAATTCTTACTTACATACTAGCGTAAAAATATGCATTCGGCACAGCATTGCCATGAAAATGCGATTTGGAGGTGTGGCCAACAGGTTTTACTGTACTAAATCTTCCTCGTGTTCTACGATAGCGTTTGCTAAAGACACTTTTTGAGGAATGCCGTATGCCTTTCACAAAAAAACACTCGGTTATTGTTTTTCCTATATTACACCTAGTTATAATCTATTTACTTTTTGTATGTACCTATGTACTTGAAGAATTATTTAAAGTTAAATAAACCTAATTAAATGTAATATATATAAGAAATTACTGAAAAGTAGCTATTGCCAGTCACTAAATAATGAAAACATAACAAAGAAGAACATGCAAGCTTTTTGAAGATTTGATGAAATGGTCGTTGATCTTTATTTAACTATTAATGTTGAACGACGATATGTTGTGTGGACATGGCGACGTGGTCCAAATTGACGCATCGAAGTTGGGCATTTTTATATGCAATGACGGCTGGTGCCAGGTGTATTACTGTTCAGAATTTCATCTGATTTTCAGTAACGTTGGGATAACTTCTTATAAATCAAGCCATTTATAGTCAATTAAGATTTGCAAATAACTTCATTAACTACAATACATATTTCTCCCAAAAAAGTACAACTTGGCAGCAATGGACATCATTTATAGTATCTGTCAAGAAATGAACGTTATAAAATGGCCATTGAGAATCATTCGTACTTTCAAATATTTCTTATAAACGTAAAAACTTTGATCTCATTGAAAATTCGCGAAACAAAATGGTTAAGGAATTTCAAGAAGACACTGAAAAATCTCAACACAGTTTACTAAGTAAATAGCATCATTTACGGAATGTATTTTAAACTGTTGTTTTAGCCTAATACACGGCTAGTTTTGAACCTTTTTTTTTGCAAAAAACATCGATTTTTTATAGTTTCACATCTATTTTTTTTATTATCGTTTCTGCCGATTTTTTCAATTTTTCCGAAAAAAAAAAAAACAAGAATTACGGCCTTTATGCGCTGAAGTATGTATTTGGAACTGACATTTCAGCTTATTATATGTTTGGTTTTTAACCTTTTTCATTGAAAAATCAACGATTTTTTACAGTTCACATCTATTTTCCTTAGTACTATACAGTCTATGTTATATTCTTATAATTGAGAGCATCCTTTTGTGCAAAAAGCAAAAAAAAACAGCGTATAAAACAGTATTCTATTCTAGAGAATTACCACCAAAAATGCAACTTTGAAGTTCTATAAAATAGCAAGCAGGGGGTCTTAAAGAAAAAATGATGTTTTAGTAAAAGTTACATCCTAGTCTTACCGGAGTTGCATCGTGCTGACCCCCAGGATCTGCTTCCATCTCATTATAGCCTTTTTCCTGGATTTACGCGAATTAATTCTCAGAGCAAAAAAATCTGCCAACTTGACAAATACCCTACACAGGGTGGTTCCTTGTCTGCTGCGCAACTTCTAACAGAGGTACATCCCAACCGTTTGAGGGAAGAGTGAGGGGTGAAACTTTGAATAGTCAGAGCTATATTGATAACTGCCTCTCCAAATTGCCTCAATTTGTCCACGAACATCTTGCTAATGACCATATCATGTTTTCGCCAAACCTAGCGTTATGCCATTACTCATTAGATACCCAAAACTAGCTTCGACAACAGAACATACCTTTTGTTAAAAAAAACGATAATCCTTCAAGCTTGCCGCAGGCTCGCCCAATAGAGGATTTTTGGGCTTTACTGTCTAGGAAGGTTTCTCATGGATGCTGGGAAGCCCAAGATGAAGAACAATTAAGACGGCGAATTTACGAAAACTGTGAGATATTGATCTGAATTCCGTCCAGGACCTCATGAGACGCATTCGAAGAAAGTTGCGTCTGGAAGAGCAGAATGGGCCACACCACATAATTCAAAGTATAGTTTAGTTAAGTATTGAGTTGTAATTTATGATAACTAGTTAGTGTTTAAAAAAATTTCTTCATTAAAAAAATTCTATAAATATTTTGTGCCAAAACTTTTAGGGCATACGTTATGTCTAAAAGGTGCGTGAATTAACAATGTTGCGAGCGTATGAATGTACATACCAGCATCAAAAAATTGGGATAAACCCTCCCCATCCCCTTACAACCCCACCCCCAAGTTTTTTTACCTCTAATTTTTTTTCAAATATGATCACGATTTTCTGAAATGTCAAAAAACAAAGTTTAAGCGATTTTTTACTTTTCTCGTTTTAGAACTTTTTCTCTGCCTCCGCTGGACCGATTTACAAAAACTATCCTTTAGCGTCCTTGGCACAGTAGTAACATTGTGTAAAAGTTTTATCGAAATCCGAGCGTCACTTCTAAAGTTATAGGGGGTTATAAGATTAGCAGATAGACCGAGACACAGACAGATAGACCGGCGGAAATGAGTGACATGGTTTTTCATTATGTACATGTCATATAACATCGAAAAAACACAATTTCTCATTTTAGTAAAATTTTCGCGATCACCTTCAACGTCAGTAGGCGTGGGAATTAAAATGACTAATTTATTATCAACAATTGATTATTTACACCAGGAAGCCTATATACCAGGAGAAACTATGGCAATGCTGTTCATACTGTAAAAACGGCCCCGATATTAGACAAATGAGCTGCTTTCCAGTGACCCAATTGAGTTACACGGTGTTACTCTGAGTGACTCAGTAGTGTTTAGCACCAATATCGTTCTACTACACTTTGCATTCCCATACAGTTTTTAGAGCAGTTTAAGAACTTATCACTCTCAAACTAAAAACCACTGGAAAGCAGCTCTAGAGTACCAGTAGTCCTTTGACAGGGTTGCTATGTAACGGGATTTTCGGGGACATAATGATCTGGAAGAAATCACACGTTTCGCTGCTCTCTGAAACAAACCTACCCCTTTTCATTAAATAATTGTTATTTGGGGGATTTTTTTAAAAATGACAATTCTGAGGGATTTTTGTGTTTGTTCTGGGGAATTCTGTTCGACCCATGTGGCAACGTTGTGCTTTGACAGACCCGTCATATGAGCACTTTCCTGATAGTCAGATAATATCCGACCGCTTGCATCTGCGGGTATGTTTTTTATAAGACTCAATTTTGTGAATGATAAATAATTGTAGGACAAGTTACAGCAGCGTTGTTTGGAAAAGGATACGTTTTAATTAATTATCATGTGACAAGACCTATACCGCGTCCTACGTAATTTCAATATGCTTGAATACTCACCTAGCCTCCAGTGCCTCCCACCTCTCTTTACTCAAATCTTTTGTTTGCAGTATAAACTTCGGTTGGTCATGAGTAATTTCAGATTTAGCATCAGCAACTTCCATATTATGTACAGGCTTTCCATCATCAACTTCATCACCCTCCCCTGAAGGCTTCCTTGTTACCACCTTCTGAACCATAGCATCTTTCCGATTCAGAACAATATTCAAGACTTTCTCGCAAATCTTAGCCTTTTCAATTTCTTTAGTGCTATCCTCATCCTTAACTATGATTCCATTCACATGAGGACTATCAATGGCTACCAAACTTAACTGGTTTTGTCTTTCCAGTTTGGCGATTTGTCTTCTGATTTTCATTATACGCATTGCTTCTTTTAAATTCGAAGCAAATTTCGGTTTTATGTACTTGACTGTTTCTACTTCATTGCACTGGGTTTTTTGCGGCGCGTCATCCGGTGCCTCTCTAGAATTTTCAGTCTCGACTGCTTCAGAGTTGCCAGAATTATTACTACCGCCTACCGATGATGTGTCGCCTAAAATAAAAAATTGCGTTAAGTAGATTGATTATGTGCTTCCCACGGAATTCTGTCATCATATTTTTTTACAGTGTGATCTTTTACTTCCCACGCCTACCGGTGTTTTTTGGATGTCACGTCCCTCATCACCGTCGGTCGGTCTGTCCGTTAATCTTTAACCGCCTATAACCAGAGAAGTACCGCGCGGATTTCGATCAAACAACGTTATTACTATGGCAAGGACGCAAAAGCTTTGTAGTTTATGAGAATCCTCCAGCGGCGGCAGAGAAAAGGGCCAAAAACGAAAAAGAATAAAAATCGCTCAAACTTTGTTTTTTGACCTTTCACAGTATTTCTGATTTTGTTTAAAAAGTTTAGAGGCAAAGAAACTGTGGTAGGGGTTGGAGAGGGTGTAGAGGGTTTATATCAATTTTTTGAGGTTAGTACATTTATAAGATATGAACCTTGTTAGTTCTACGCACCTATTATACATATTTCACATATCATCTCCGTGCATTAAGCCTTAAAACCATAAAAAAATATTCTCAGCAAACGGCAGGGGCATTCTACCAACAAAGCATGATGGGAAACTGGCTTGTAGCATCAGGTTTATTCGTACAGTGGTCGGTAACTTGTCGGTGACTGAGATCCGGCCGTGTGAATTCCGTCTATATACCGAAGCAGAATGAACTGAATTTGGGTAGCGGGATCTTGAACATGATCGCTGATAGGTTACCGACAGCTGTACGAACAGGGCTTTGGTCATTGAGTGTGTCGTGACGTTGAGTCATCCCTCAGCGCTCATAGCGAGCAAACGCGGAATGTACTATCTGCTCACTTCGTCTTTTTTTTTGCTGTCCACCACTGAATAGATTTTCAAGACTTAAAAAGTTTTTCGTCCTTGGCACAGTACTGTGTGAATTTTTTTTAATATTGCAATTTTATTAATCCATTTTAAACATCCTTTTTTTTATTTCTTGATACGGTGACACATATCAGACTCCAGGGAAGCGGGAAGAAGGCCGTTTTAGCCTGTTTAGGCGATCTCGTAAATGATCAGCCGCTATGGGTTACTAAAACACGTCATATAACCTAATCCTATAACCGCAGCTATCAGCTTTTCAAAATTCAAATAGGAGAAAGAGAATTTCCTTCAAAACTTTTTGAACATTTTTTTCAATATCAAAAAATTTTGCTAAAGTACTTTTAGGACATTCTGAACAAAAAAAGTACTTTAGAACTTTTCTCTAAAGTTGATAGTTTTTGAGATATAAGTGATACAATATTTGAAAAAGTGCGAAATATGTCATTTTTGAACTCGAAAAACAATATGAAAAAAGTAAAATTTGAATGCTACCACTGTTACTAGATATTCTCCAAACATGCATTAACAAATTGAATCCCACAGCACGCGAGGAAAAGTTGTTATTGTAAACCGTTATTTTTTAATTCTTAACCAAACACGAGCTCAGTATATGCTTTACGTAAGTACGAAAGAGATGCAACATGGATGGAGAACCATTGTGCATGTGCTCGATTAAGAATTAAAAAACAAATGTTTACAATCCATCCTGAAATGCTTAGGGATTTTATTAATGGGTATTTGAAGAATATTTAGATCAGAAATATTGGAGACATTAAAATTTTCGTTTTTCATATTATTTTTCAGAGCCGCAAATGGCATTTGTCACACTTTTTCAAATATTGCAACCGTCAATATCTCAAAAACTATCAACTTAATAGAAAAGTTATAGATGTAGGGCTAGGGATGGTATAGAGCCCTTGTTTGGTATAGACGATTTGAATTATTGCAACTCCCCTGTCCCTCAGGTCGCATCCCTTTCCCCTTATGTGTCACTATTTTGCGAAAAATGTTGAAACGGTTGCTAGGCCTACACTCGATCGACAGTGGCGGCGTAAAAGGGTTTCGCTGTTTCGCGTATCCTACATAGATAACCGGTTTTTCATAACGGTCGACGAAAAAACGTCGGTATGTTCACAAGGCGCTTTTGGAATTGGACCCCGTCGCGTATGCGAACCTGTTAGATCAAGAGATAGTGTGGTAGTGAATTTTGGTAGCTGTGATGAGTACTCGTATGATGCTTTGAATTCGAAAATTTGCTATAAATGTTGTGGTCTAGGTCATTATGTGAGCGACTGTAGGAAATCTGAACAAGTTTGTGTTAAGTGTGCTGATGGTCATAAGGTTTCTGAATGTAGTTCTGCTCAGCTAATAAAAAGTTTCTAAAAACATGGGTCCGGAAATGCAGAGTTTTCAAAATACAGGGCGATAAATTTAAAAAAAAATATTTTTATTAATATCTTGAGATTTGGAAATATTATTTGTTGTGTTAACCTCCATGCAGAAATTATTTTATTGTTTTCCAAGGCACTTGTAATTTTTTTAACAAAAATTAATAAATCAATTTTGACCAGTGACATGCGATAAAACGGTTTTTATTTTTTTCTCGAAAACGAAGTGATACGAAAAACATACAACAGGCAAAAAAATAGTATTCATAGATGCTTAATCAAACAATATATATTAAAGTTACAAAAATGGCAATGGCGTACATTTTTTTTGACAATAATATTCACTAAGGTGCCCGCCGGGACGCCATTGGACCTAATAATTTTAATCTATTGAGGATCCATACAAAAAATATTAGTGCCCACTGAAATAGTATGTTGGAGTCCACCCTTAAATGCAAAACGACTTATTCCCATTGCAGCAGTTCATGCAAACCATCTTATTTCCAACCAACCAATAGGAAACCTCCCATCAGTCATGTGGCTGAATTGAGTTTGCTATGCTAGTATTAGTCAGTTGAGGTTATATATGATTGTTGTCTATTGATGTACTCATGATTTATTATTTTGAAGTTAACATTAGATTGGTTTACTGAAAATGGATAGTGCAGATGGTAGTAAGTGTTGGTGAAGCTAATCAAAGAAGCTGAAAGAAGCGCACTACAGGAGGGAAACGGAAAGTAGAAAAGTTAGCCAGGTATGCAACTCCTAAAAAGGCTCTAGTTTTTGGGGCTTGCAAACACAGACAGACACAGACAGTGAACGTTTTACCTGTGTGAGATTTAGGCCAATGATATAACGACGTTTAAAGGAGACTTCTACAAAATTACAAATAACCAAAGGCAAGATAACATAACTGCCAGCTCAATTCATACTTCTTCAGTTAAAAGACATAGCCTACGGACCAAAACAAGAAGAACAAATAAACTACTTTTTGCCAACTCAGGCAGGCCTGAAGATTCCTGTGTGTTAAGTTTTTTCGCTCCATAACTGGTGTTGGGGAAATCAGAATTAAAAACATAGCAAAAAAAAGTTCATTTTGGATTAGCGGTTGAAGAGGAAAGAGGAGGTGGCACCACAGAAAATAGAAACTTTATGAACAAACAAAGTGTAAGGGAGTTTATAAAAAAGCTCAGAGGTACAGAGTCACATTATGGCCGGAAAAAATCAAAGAGATTATACCTTAGCAGTGAACTCAGTAATAGTAAACTAAGTAAAATGCACAATGATTAATGTGAAGAGTTAAAAGTGACATGCAGTATGTTTAGGCGAAATTTTGTTTCTGAGTTTAATATCGGTTTTAAATCTCCGGCAAGTGATACCTGTAGTACATGCTGCTTACTCAACGAACAAACCAGAAGTGCTCCAGCGCACTACACTGAGAAAGCTCAGTTAGTGGTTCAAACGAGAGTTCATTCTCGTAGAGCCAAGGCTTTCTACGAGCACATGAAATCAGATGTTGCTGATTCTATAAGCTTTTGTTTTGATCTTCAACAAATTCCACCTTTACCAAAAAGTCCCGTCCAAGAAACATACTATGCGAGGCAATTTGGATTCTACAATTTACGTATTACTGACTTTAAAACTAAAGATCCGGTGTTTTACACATGGACAGGACAGCAGGCTGGTAAAGCAAGTGTTGAAATATCTTCAGCTCTCTTTAGCCACTCAACGAACAAGAATAACATGGTCTTAAGAACCCTTCACTTTTTGGAAACACATACAACCACTATCCAAAAGATATTGTTGTTCTTTCCCGTTCGTGGTCATTCATTTCTTCCTGCTGGCCGGCCAGAAAAACTTCTTCTTGCTGCCTAGCAACATCGATAGTCGTTGGCGTCGATTTAGAGAACAACTTGCTGTTCTCAACATCCTCAAAATTCCGAGGCATGTCTTATGTCTAAACACATCTAAAATTGAACTGCAGGGTTTCTCGGACGCTTCGGTAGAGGCCTACGGTGCATGCCTTTATATTCGCAGCATCTCTTCTTGCGGCGAGATTACCGTACATTTGCTCACAGCCAAATCCAAGGTTAGTCCTCTAAAGTACTTGACTATTCCGAAGCTGGAGCTATGCCGGACCTTCTTGCTTACTCAAATTGTTGTTAAGGTAAAACAATCAATGAGTATTCCCTTTGGTGCTACCTTCTTTTGCTCTGACTCCACGGCATGTCTAGCCTGGATAAAAACCGAGCCTAACAGAATTCAATCCTTCGTTCAAAACAGGGTAGCACAAATCCAAACGCAAACACAGGCAGAAAGTTGGCATTACATAAACTCTAGTGAAAACCCAGCGGACTTGCTTTGGTGGAATGGACCAGCTTGGCTATCACAAGGATGCGACAAGTGGCCCATAGCTCAACATAAGTTCGAGGGTGAGTTGCCCGAATTGAAGAAACAGTTCGTATCATTTCCTGCTACATGTGTGCCCGACGTTCTTAATATTTTATCTTATTCTAGTTTTTCAAGACTTCAACGCGTGACAGCGTATGCACTTAGGTACACTTCAAACAGTAAACTACCTGAGAAAGACCGATCAATCGGAGCACTTACGGCGTCAGAGCTTTCAACCGCCTGGACTTACTTGACAATGACGTCCCAAAGGCAATCATACTTGGCTTTGAAACGGGGTAAATCGTTACATAATTCTTCAAAATTGCTGTCATTGAATCCCTTCGTGGATGATAAAGGTGTAATTCGTGTCGGTGGAAGAATTCAAAATTCAAATTCTTGCTTAACATCTAAACATCCCGCCATCTCTCTGGTAAACACTACTTATCAAAGTTGTTGGGTGAGTACGAGCACAAACGGCTACTACATACCGGACCACAGCAAACTCTTTACTCATTACGGCAAAATTTCTGGATCACTGGTGGTAGAAATCTTGCCAGACAAATCATTCGTGCTTGCATCAAATGCTTTAGTTGTAACCCTTCAGTTACTTCGCCTATAATGGGAATACTTCCCAAAGCGCGTATCACTCCAGCTCCACCGTTTCATACTGCCAGAGTAGATTACGCGGGTCATGTCATGATCAAAGATAAACTCGGTCGAGGTGCGAAACTGACCAAGGCCTACATAGCTTTATTCGTTTGCTTTGCCACAAAGGCTATTCATTTGGATCTTGTCAGTTGCTTGACCACAGAAGCTTTCATTGGTGCCTTTCGTCGGTTTACCGCCCGCCGTAGAAAACCACTGGAAATTTGGAGCGACAATGGCTCGAATTTCAGAGGGGCTGAAGCAGAACTGCGCGACCTCGCTTTCTTCCTTGCCCAAAACAAATTTTACTGAGAAGAAATGATATGCAATACCGGTGTAAACTGGAAATTCATACCGGCATTTTTTCCTCACATGGGAGGCATCTGGGAAGCAGGGGTAAAATCTGCGAAGAAACATCTGCGCCGCATCCTTGGCTTGTCAAATCTAATATTTGAGGAATTTGACACCGTGCTTACACAAATAGAAGCAGTTTTAAATTCAAGGCCTATTGTTCCTATGTCCTGTTCTCCTGATGACCTTTTGGCCCTAACGCCATCCCATTTTCTCCTTGGGCGTCCAGCTACTGCGTTGCCCGATCCAGACCTCAGCAAGATACCGATAACCAGGCTATCCAGGTGTCAGTTGCTACAGCAATTACAGCAACACTTTTGGAAACGCTGGTCTCATGAATACCTAACCGAGTTACAGCTACGTACCAAATGGAGAACACATCAAGACCATCTTCAACTTGGTTCACTAGTAGTCCTGCGGGACGATAACCTACCTCCTTTGCATTGGAAACTTGGAAGGGTTTCTACCTTTCATCCCGGAGCAGACGGCAAGGTTCGAGTTACTACTGTGCAGACATCTGGTGCAGTGAAGCGTGCAGTTACGAAACTTTGTGTGTTGCCAATAGAAACTGAACCAGTGCAGAGAGCCGATTGTGAAGTTGGTGATGTATAAACTGCCATGTGACTTTTAACCTTTATATTTATTTTGCGATTGGACATTATTATCATTACTCAGATATTATTGTGAAATGTATTTCCTTTTCGTATGTTGAAAGCTGACCCTTTCAAGGTCGGGGGTATGTTTACGCCTCAAAACTTTCCTCCATCCATGTGTGATTAATACTTGTTTCCACATCAAGCGCATGCGCGACTAGACAGCGAGGCCGATATGACGGCCATTGCAATTAATGACAGAGACGTCACTGGTACAATCCTCGAGAATAAACACGCATTCCTTTGAGCGGGCGTATCCTTCATAAGCTACCGTTCATCAGCAGCAAAACTACAAAACACATGGAAATGAATGCTTTCATATTTTTAACAGCGTATTCATATATTTTCAACAAATAATGTCTTACTCGACAAGAGACGTAAAATACAATTTTTTTATCTAGGACCGGTTTAGAACAGCTTTCAAGTAGAATGTAAAATAGAAATAATCTGACCGTACTATTGTGCTGCCACTAGTTACACTTTCACAAGGAATAAATAAGGACATTTACCGTATCATCGATATTTTAGGCAACATAAGTTAAATCATCCACAGTGGCCGGTAAAGTTATTAGAGCATAAACAAGTCCGCGGGTTAAAACGTAAGACTTAAAGTATACTTCGGGTAGTAGATAGATAACTATTTTGCATGTAAGTAAGCAAACAGCTTGTTGCGTGTCCGATCATTTGCGAAAAATTGTATCTCTCCAGTCCTACATTAAGGTGCTCTTACATACTATAACTCTTACCTGCTTCACTGCTATGTTTCTGAGATAAAGACATGCTGTTATCCACATTATTCTGCACGCTTCTCTCCGCGTTACCATCATTTGAATCTCTATCCGTCGATCTTCTATTACGTTTTTTATCTTTGAAACTATAATGATCATCTCTACTTTTATCTCGTTTCGAATCCTTTTTGTGCCTGGACCTTGACTTCGCATCATCTTCGCTTTTGTTCGTTTTATCTTTGTGTTTGGAGCTACTGTTCGATGAAGATTTTGTTTCCTTACCTCCATCTTTCTTTTTATCCGTACTATTTGTATCAGAGTGATGTTTGTTACTTCTTCCACTGCTAGAACTCTTACCCTTTTCTTTAGATTTACCGGATTTATCTACAGTCAGCTCTTTCTTATCATTCCTTTCTTTATGCGATTTTTCCTTATTGTTTCCAACAGATTTGTTTTTATCTTCTTTGTCTCGACTCGAGTTATCTTTGCTCCTATCCTCTTTATCAGATTTCTCTTGACTGCTCTTTTCATCTTTTTCTTTCTTCCTATGTTTGTCACTCCTTCCTAAAGAGACATCAGTGAGTTTAATTTTCTTATCACTGTCGTTCTTTTCCGCCTCTTTTTTATCACTATCTTTATGATCATGAATTCCCTTGTCAATTTCTTCCTTAGCGACATTTTCCGTATCTTTTCTATCACTTTCTTTATGTTTGGATTTTGAACAATGCTTGGAAAAGGACCGGTCCCCCTCTTTGTATCTATCCTTTTCTCGCTCTTTACTTCCACTGCTGCTACTGCTTTTGCTGTTTTTCTCGGAAGATCTACTAACGTGTTTGCCATCTTTTTTATCTTTTGTATCGGCATTTTTATCTTTCTTTTTATAATTATGTTTATCATCCCGTTTACTTTCGCTTTTCGTTTCTCTTTTCTCATCTCTCTTCTTTTCTCCGTGCTTTCTATCATACTTTATGTCTTTGTGGGATTTCTTATCATCTTTAAACTTGAACTCGATATCTTGTAATGGAAGTACATCATTCGACATCTTTGTATCGGAATCAGTCGATTTTTCAATTTTTGGTTCACTGTATGCATCCATTTTGGTGTCTTCCGAAATGTCGATGGACAATCGGTCGTCACAGCTGTTTTGTGAAATTTGAGAATCTTGATTAGACAAATCCATCCGAGATATACCTGTGTTATTCAAGCCCTCGTTCGAATCATGACTTTGCAGCCCTGTAACATATGAAATTCAATAAATTAATTATTATTCTATCTTATATAATAACATAAAGGAGGTAGATGCAGGGTATTTCTAACTCGCAATCCGAAATTTTGTCCTTGAAAATGATAAGAAATACGACATTAGTCAATTAGCAAATTACGAAAGCATAATTGACCTAATGCCATTACTTTCAAGAGCTTAATATATGATTGCTTTTTGCGGAAATCAATGAGCAAATGCCTAGTCCGTCCTTAACGATGCAAACAAGTTAGTTGTTCTCTGTGAGCACAATTATGTGAAGTCCCAACCCGTTACTACGATGTCAAACTTTGCCGCGCAGGCAGAAGCCTAAATGCCGGAACAGCGCGGCTGCTATGATGATCCCAAAGAAATTTTATTAATACTATTTTTGAACTGCCTAAGGTTAATAGAACTGGGAAAAGCTTCCTCTTGTAGATTGTTCCACAATCTCGACACCCTCGGGACAAACGAGCGGTCGTATCGGCCGATTCTAGATGTACGAAGTTCGACACGGTTAGGATGGGACGCCAAAGTCAGGCGGGTCTGTCTGGCAAGCACGTCGCGCGGCGGCATCATGGAAGAGAGGTCTGAGGAGCAAAGCTCGTTGGTGTGACGGTAGAAAAGAGCTAGATCGCCGACAGCCTGCCGGTGCGAAAGAGTCCCGGACTGTCTGTTAGAGAAGAGTCATCGATCAGTCGGACCGCCCTCCTCTGGACAGCATCGAGCATGGATAATGTAGTCGGGGCGGCAGCACCACAAACGTGTGAGCAATACTCGAGGCTAGGCCTGATCTGGGCCTTGGATAGAGTGAGAAGGTCATGCGGAGAAAAGCACTTCTTAGCCCTAAACAAATAGCCTAGCTTTTTCCCAGCGGCTGCAGCTATTGACGAGATGTGTTCGTGCCAGATCAGGTCTTCGGTGATCTGGACTCCGACTAGCCGAAATGAATGGCTCTTTGGCAGAACTCGACCATCCATCGCAACCGGGTGAGCTCAGGGACGCTTTTTGTTCGTCAAAGTACAGTACTGTGTTTTGGAGCTATTGACGAGATGTTTGTGTTCGTGCCAGATCAGGTCCTCGGTGATCTGTAGTCCGACTAGCCGAAATGAATGGCTCTTTGGCAGAACTCGACCATCGAAACCGGGTACAGTACTGTGTTTTGGAAGCATTGAACTGTACAAGATTGTTGCGTCCCCAAGCAGTGATAGCCTCCAGGTCTCTTGTCAGAGAGGAAGTCATCGCTAGACTTCATTTTTCCAACTCAGCGGCAGAGATCGGCTTGTCACTCTGAATTCCTGCATGTAGAGTGCTGTCATCAGCGAAGCTGTGGATTGGGTTGATCGTGCCGGAAAGGAGGTCGTTGATATGTAAGAGAAACAGTGTCGGAGCCAAGACCGATCCCTGGGGAACAGCCGCATTGACGTTGTGGGATGAAGAGGAGAACCCGTCAATTACGATGAATATCTTGCGGCCAGAGATAAAGTCAGCCACCCATCTGCAAAGCTGTTCTGGGAGGCCATAGGATGGAAGAGGGCAGCGTGCCACAGCTGATTGAACGCTTTCGTCATGTCAAGAGCAACGACATGAGCCTCACCATAAGACTGGATGAGTTTACTCCATAATTGAGTGACGTAAGCTAGGAGGTCCCCTGTGGATCGTGGGTGCCGGAAACCATACTGCCTGTCGCTAATCAAGCTGTGACGTTCGAGGTAGTCCAGAAGCTCGCGATTTATGCACCTCTCCATCACCTTACTTAAAACAGAAAGCAGAGCTATAGGCCTGAAGTTGTAAGGGTCGGTCTTAGGCCCGTATCGTCAGTCGTCCCTACAATTGTAGGTCAAAAATTTCTAGATTACACTTGTCCCGTGTCAGCGTCAGCGATCTCCTATTGTGAAGATATGTTTTCTTTTTAAATTGTAGGAAATTTCATGCTGATAAAACATGATATAACTCAAAAGCAAGCACAATTTGATGCAAATAGATGTCTGTGACATAACCTCAAAATAGAGTTCTGACACGGAGAAGTAGAAAACTATGACAATCAAGGAGGCCATAAAGGCGCCCTGCAATTGTAGGGACGACTGACGATACGGGCCTTAGATCCCTTTTTTGGGATGGGTTGGACATGAGCAAATTTCCAGTTTTCTGGGAAGGTGCCGGATTCATAAGATATCTGGAAGAGACGCGAAAGAACTGGAGCAAGCTCCGCACTACACCTCTTCAGTACAATGGCAGGAATCAGGTCCGGACCAGAAGCTTTGTTGATGTCGAGCGACAAGAGCACTCGTCTTACCCAGGGAGGACAGGACAGCAGTGCTGTAACGGACAGGACGCGTGGCCAGAAACAGATCCAGCAGGCTCCTGGCGTGTGACGAGACGCGTGGGAAAAAAGTAGAGCTCGTCACCAGCCGAGTCAGCCCTTGGGTAAGAGCAAACGCTTCGACTGCACGACCTGCTGCATCGGTCTTGTTTGAGCCCAACGAAAGCTCATTATTGGCATTGAAATCACCGAGAAGAACTACCTCTGAAGCGGGATGATTGATGTTCAGGAAGTCGATCTGGACGGCGAGGTATTCGAGTAGGTCATCTCAGTTATGGTCCGAGGAAGAGCGATAAAGGCAGCAAATAAATTTGGGTGATGTTGGAGTTGAGGCGAAGCCACAGAATGTCCTTCCGGTCTGATTCCAAAGAAACATCTCTGGAGCAGGAAAGACTGCTGCGGACAAAAGCCACAACTCCCCCGTTCTTTCTCAGATTGGAGTGCACCTCGTAGTTTGGGAAGTTAAGATGGTTAATCGGTGCAGACTCTGAGATTTTTGTCTCCGCCAAGAAAAGCACGGCGAGACGATTGGATTGCAGGTAGTGATGAACAGCATCAATGTTTCTGTTAATCCCGCAGGTGTTCGAAAAACAAATTTTATCGTCGATGTTGTTCCCTCCAACCCACCCTCCACCCGGACATTCCGAGAGTGGGGTGAGTTTACGTCCGGAGTTCTTAGTGCCCTCAAATGTCATGTATAACATGCCATAATTAGATTTTCCCAAAATGTATCTTTTTATGAGTAATATTCCGTTCAGACATGGATCGGCCACCCTGTATATATACGATTCATAGTTATTGTCGAGCTAGCTAAACGAAAGACTTGTCTTTTCGAATAGCGACAAATTAAGCTAAGTGTACCCTTTTGACTTACAAATACTCAAGCTCAAGCTTTCAGGCTATGCTGTCATCTTCAGGAGTCCGTCAATGAGATTGGTGCTAGTGTTTGATGTTTTAAATTGTATTTGGGCTAGATGATAAAAACTGAATTTACGCGGATCCTTTTTTAAAAACGGTGGAGAACATAATGTTTTAGTGATGAAATATGGATGGATTGGTACAAACATTGTTGATTAAATGAAATTCCTTAAACGCTTCACCAATTAATAGATCGCTTCCATATTTTCTGCTCATATCCACTTTCCTCCTTCTAGCCATTTTATACTACAATGTGCGGCTCTTGTTGTGGACTTCGTGTGTCGTTTTTTTCCCTCTCTATCTTCGTTTCCTCAGGTTACACCCGTATCCGGATGTGTGAGCATGTGTATCTACTTTAGTAGTTTCATATGTGCATTCATTTCGGGCCGACGAGCAGAAATACGTATCGCTCGGGTTACCTATCCTATTTTCTGCTCGAACCCACTTTCCTCCTTTTTGCGGATTTTGCCCATTATTTTCCTACTCTTTTGGCTTGAAGTACTACAGCAAGTGGCTATAACCGGCCGCGTGGTTATGGTCAGATGTCGTCTTAAAAATTCGAGGTCTTCTAGCCATTTTATACTACAATGTGTAGTAGCCTTGGAGGAAAAAACATCAGAGCAAAATGCAGTACTTGTTTTTAATAAATTGAAAATTTTCTATAATTTTTAATTTGTTCGGGTGTATTGATATATAGCGGTAACACCTAACTATGATTTCCGTCGTTACCAACAAACCCAATATGTCCGTCCTTTTGGTTTTACATTTGCAACAACTGCTCTCATCCACGCTTTCGTTTTAAATCACCATTTGGCTGTAACCTCACCGACGACTCCTGAAGATGGCACCATAGCATGTCGGAAGTTCGAGATTACCATCAAAAGAGTTTACTAAGCTTAAAGTTTGCCAATTTCCCAATTAATAATTAATTGTCTTTCTTGCCGAACTGGTCGTTGGCAATGGCGATGACTACTGCTCATATATATACAATGTGTTTCGTCACGACATACTGATATTTAAGAGAGGTATTTTTCAGCTATTTTTATCGACAAATCCACCTCCCTACAATGTCCTACCTCATCCCCCTTGAAATGGCAGCCATTTCTATTTTTACGTTACGATTACGGTAGTGCATGTATGAAAATTGTAATAACTGAGTACGTAAGTATCACAAAATGATAAATTTGGTGTCATTTGAACGATGGCATGTTGTCCTAGCAATTATTGAAAAACTTGCTGTGATACTATCCGTCAAACATACTTAAAAACAGACAAACAGAAAAAATATGGAAGAAAATTGATTATTTTGTGCATTTCCGCACACCATTCAAAAACTAGTCTGTGAAGTTGTACTTTTTTTTGTGCAAATTCTACAGCTTTTTGTTGTCCTAAGTATTCTACGTTAAGCAATAAATGCTATCTAACATAGCTCAAAAAGGGTGTAATAGAATGCAAATTGTTTTCCGTATATGGAGGACCTATCGCAGATTTCACCAGTCAGCCTGCGGGGCTCCCCTTTGTCACCCGGCAAAATTCCAGAGGGATGACCCAGATCGTGTTTTTTGCTAAATTTGGGTACCGTAGTTCCGGGCTTTGCCGCGCCGATTTGGTGGACTCACAGTCGCGCGGGTATTCAGCCCGTATATTTTCAATCAACTCTACAGTGGATAGGTCATCTGCCGGGTATTCAGTATCTAGATTGTCGCCTTTAGGTCCTCCTTAATATTGGCATCGCTGTATTAGGCATTTATT